GAGTTTATATTTCAATTTGACATTTGTCCAGTAAATAATTACCTTTTCCTGGCGATAAACTAATGTTACTAGGTCTAGGAACTGATACTGGTACTACTGATTACTAGGTGTGATGTTTCCACAAACCCAAACAGGAGTAAATGAGGAGCTCTCCAGTTGCTTTTGGAGGTAGTTGTGAATGATGGCTTTTCTGCCCTTTAGGGGGGCTTTCAGCATCAGTGGCAATTGCAGGACGCCCAGGGCATAGATGTAATTCTCTTGAAGACCGTTTCTCTTTTAACAGCGCATTTCCTGCAGGAGTTACTCTGCTTACAACAAGATCTAGCATTTGTGTTTTCGATCCTTTCATTGCCAATCAAGGGGAGTCAGTATGCTTTTGGTGAAGGAAAAAGATGAGAGCAGCAGAGAAGACGGAAGGGTCCTGTGTCAGTAGCTGGCTTAGAACTTCCTCCTCCGCTTGGCATCAAAGCCAGCTTCCTGCTCCCATCGTGTGCGCGTGAGCAGGTATTAATTACCACAGGCTGACTTCAGGTTGGAAGGGATTCCTCAAGTCATACGGTCCCGGTTTTTGTCCAAGCAGGGCCAGCTTCAGAGGTAGCCACCAGCGTCACCTGCAGATGACTTCTGAGCACCTTTGAGGGTGGGTGTTCCACAGCCTCTCTGGGCCCCTACCGCAGTGCTTGACAACCCCCGTATTTATTTTTTTTCCTAATAACTGATGGGAATTTCTCTTGCTGCAATTTCCACCCTCTCCTTTTACTGCAGGATATTGTCAGACCCCATCTGTTTTGACGAGGTCTCTTTGTTTCCACTTTGTCTACAGGGAAGCTGTAGCTCCTCGTGATGGATACCTCAGTACTGTCTCTGCCATTCCAAGGGTAGGCTTCTGTAGCTTACAGTTAAAAACAGCTTAGTAATGGGGAAAAAAGTGCAGAAGATGGCAGCCTTCCTCCTCAGCAGGCTGTGGCAGCATGAGCGCATCACTGTGCTGTACTCATAGACCCACACAGAGGGGTACAAGGGATCAGATCTCAATGAACCAGCACTTCACTTTGGGTTAGGATCAGGAAAGGCACTGGCAAAGGCGTTGGGAGAAGGTTATTGAACATATAACTTACCCTCATTGCTATTTTATTGGCTACATTGCACGAGCAGAAGTTCAGATGTTTTTAAGTGCCAGACGGTAGCTCTGAGTGGTGTGATGGGCTTAAGCAACGTTTTTCATGATGATGAGGAGACCCTGTCGTGGCTTCGGCTCTCCCAGGGTACCGATCTGTCCGTCGTGGCAGGTAGTTGTTAAAATGGGAAGTGAGAAGAGGACTTGAGAATGAATTTTTGTTTGAGAGAGGGAGGAGCTGAGCTGGAAAGTCAGCTGAGTGCGTTGCCCTCTTTCCAACACCACAGTTTAAGGCGAGGAGCTTTCCTTGGATTGGAGTTCACATCTAGTTGTCAAGCATTTATTTTATATTTAAAGAGAAAATGAAATTATATGTGCAAGCTCAACATTTGTCAAAAGACCCCATGTGATGGCTGTAGAGATGTCATGATTTTCCCCTCTTAAGGAAGAAAATAACTGTGATCTCTTGAATGAGTTGGTATTTGTTGATTATTTTCTTCCCAGTAACATCTGTCAGTAGAAGAAAGTGATTTTGTTCATGCTTAGTTTGAACTTCTTGTCCCGGCTTGGTTATTTTTTTTAAGTTGAGCTGTAGAAAACAACTTTATTTCTAGAGCATGTTCCACACCAACACTGACATGGGGATTCTTGGCTGATGCTCTAATTAAAGCTGAATTCTTTGCTCAGCTTCTTCAAAGACAGGAAGAGATTTCTCCTACCAGGAAAAAAAAAAACAAAACAAAGCATGTAATTCTGTCTTTCTCCAGAATAGCAAATACAAGTGGTAGCATCATTGTTATAGAGTTGTGTTCCTCGCTGTGGTGAATGGGAGTCGGAGAAAAATTCAGAATTTACCTCTGAATTCTTGCAGTTGCACTGCGGTCGCCGTCTCTAAAGCCCCCGTTTCTCGGCGTGGTTTCTGCCAGGAGCACTAACGACCCTTCTGTTCCTTTAGCTGCTGCGCTGCTTAGTAGGTTTACACAAAAAAGCTTTCCTCGTTTGAACTCCCACTCCAGTCAGAGGCGTTCTACCAAAAAGAACGCCAGAGTGACCCCCTGAGTATTATTAATATACAGTGCTGTTCAAAAAGCAACTGTCTGCCACCAGATAATATTAATGCTGTTTCAATTTCTCATTGTATTGGACTAAACCGAACTCTAATACTGTGTTCAAACACTGCTCCGTGGCAAATTGCCTTTTTCCCTCTTATCTAAGAGGAGACTCAAGCAATTATTTATTGCTTCAGTTAGCAGCAGCTCAAATTAACCACCTGAATTTTTCATGTTTTTAACAGAAAGCTACAGATCGCATCCTCATCCCAATCTTAGCTCATTTTAGCAAATGTAACCTTACCCAACCTAGTTATAAACATAAATCATATGTCAGTCTGTTCAATTTATAACATTTGATGGACTATATATTGCGCTATATGGGCAGTTGTAATGAAGTATGTGCTATATAGTCTCCATTTTTAATTTTTCCATGAACTTACTTATCACCTTTTTCCAGCTAATTTATCAGTTTCTGTGAGTATATTTTTCATCATCGAATTAACAGTAAATCACTCGTTTTGCATATTCATTATTGGGAATTCTCAATGTGTTTTGATTAGACGTGACGGTTCGATGGGGTTTGGGGGGTTTTGACAGTGATTTCTACAATCAGGTTTCTTGAGTAATCTTCCACATTTTAAAAAGCAGCATTCAGGGTGACGTTGCTTTCTGACTAATATCTCATTATTTAAAATATAATCCAAGTCCAGACATCTGTGCTCTGGCCATAATCAGTGGAGATATGTACCAACCCTTAGAGGCTGATTCGTCTTCTATTTCTTAAATATCTGTCTTAGCATGGGGTGAATTGTTCTACAGAGGTGCTTTAGTGACTGGTGTTTCTCCAGTCCCTGTCGGGACAGCCCTTGTAAACTAAACCCCGTGCCTGACTCACAGAAAGCAATAAGATTAACCCACTGCCTGTCTCTCTCTGTCCTCTTCGGTATGGTCACTGGCTTCACTGCTGGTAAGAGCAAATACCTGCTACATCTCAAAGTCCTAAAACTTCGTCTTTTGGTGTTCTTCCCTGTATTTCCCAAAGTCTACCCTGGTGAGCGATCTGTATTAACTCTCTCCTAAACATCTTTCAAAACTCCTAAATAGGCACGACAGGGGTAGAAGGAAGAGATGGAGCTGGTCTAGACTGTGCATATGAATTTCCTCTGCAGAAACTACTGATGTGACATTATTCAACTCTTTGTGTCTCCGTAAAAAAATCTTCATGTGCAATCTGGAGAGTTGCAACACTTAGTTAAATTAGAAATTAAAAGTAGTATGCTAATATACAGTGGAAATCATATGAAAATATGTACTACATCTCCGTGAATACCAAATATTTTCCTTATGACTAATGATATTACGGTGAGTACCAACTGAATTCATAATCGTACAATATTTACCGCAGGGGGTTATTAATGCACCAGTCATTCATTTGGCAGTTTTTAAAGTTTAGCTCATTGGCGATGGAAGCACAGAACTCACCTGAATATTAAACAAATAGCCACCATTTCTTCTGGACGTAAAATTAAGAACAAAATACGTGGGTGGAAAGGATATTAGTAAGAATATGTGGTAAGTATTTAAAGGTTATTTACTCATTCCAGATTCACCGTAATAGTATTAATCATGCTGAGCTGATTTGGTGTTAATGTAGATGAAATACGTAATTCTGCAGTAGGTCTCCTGCAGTGTCACATTAATAAATGCCTCCTCACATACAAACATGTGTTATTTTTTGGTAAAGAGCTTTGAGGAGAAGCCAGTTCCCATCTTTGGCATGTGTATGAGCGCCCGATGTAGTCAGTGGCAATTTTTTTCTGTACAAATACAATTAACAGCTGAAAAAAAGAAAGAATAAGGGGTATATGTGTGAAGCAATTCACATGGAAAAAATCAGGAAAACGGATTGCCTTGTTTTTCTCAGAAAACAGCACCAAAAACCAACGTGGAACTGCCGTGCTCGTTTCACTTTCTTTTCATTTAGGGATATATTTAGAGTAGTCCCACGGTAAACTAGACACACAAACCAGCGCAGCGCCTCCGTGCACCCAGGAGTTAATGCCCGTGTGTTATTTCTTGTCGGCCGCATCCTTCGTCTTTACAACCTAGTGGGAGGAGTCCACGGTGAGGTAAAAAGTGGTGAAATGGCTATTAGCGATGTAATTGCGACATCAAGGAAGTAGGGAGGGAGGCTTTTTGCTCAGAAAGTGGTGACTGCGGGTGCACGAACTGTTCCGGGCCGGGTGCAGGAGCACGAGTTCCACCCAAGCGGCGCTGGAGAGTTGGACCCCTGAGGTTCCCGGCTACGAATTTCAGGATCCCAAGGCACCGCGTCACTGGGGACCCTCAAACATCTCTTCCCACGTCATCCCCATCCCTGCTGAGGGGCGGGATGCCCACCGGAGCTCAGCGCCATGGCCCCGGCACCCCCAGCTCCACGGGGCAGCGTGCTGGGGGGGCAGCAAGAAGGCGCTGGCACCCCGCGGCATCCCTCGCCTCCGTGTGGTGGTGCACCTAGTGCCGCGTCTCAGGCGTCCTCTGCTCCGGGCGATGGGTGAGGAGTTACGGTTGATGCACAGAGTTGGTTCCAGCTTCCGCACGCAGGTGAAGCTGCAGGTGATTTAGAGGAGATGGGGATAAATAAAGTGTTTGGAAGGGAAACGAAAGTGATGGGCAGCGGTTGTGCTCATCACTTACTTCGCACACGTGCTTTTGCTTGACTTTATTTCCTTTTTCTCCTTGTTTTTCAGGAGGGCGCCTGCCCGTTCTGCGTCCCAGATCTGGCTTTAACAGTGTGTGCTTTGTTTTGCCTTGTTTTTTTCCCCCTGCAGAGCCCAGCTCCCATTACGTGATTTCCTTAAAGGCCTTTAACAACGCAGGCGAAGGGGTGCCTCTGTACGAAAGCGCGACCACCAGGTCCATGACAGGTGAGTTGCAAGTGCCGGCCCGTCATCTGCTCCCCACCAGCGAACGCTGGCCTCACAGAGGTGCACGCTAGGCGAAATGTTTTGGTCAAGGCCATGGAAGAAAAGCACTCTACAACCTCCAGGTCCCTGCTGGAATAAATCAGCTTCTTTTTTCACTTTGTTGTAACTGCGCAGATAGAATGAATTATTTACCCTTTCCAGAAATTGGCTGTATAAATTTAACGAGATGCTCACGAGTGCTTGCTCTTCGGTGCGGGTTGGCTTGGGAGAAGCATGAGTCCCAAACAATTTAAATAGTTAAAGATTAGTGGTGAATAGCTTTGCTGAATTAAGCCCAGGTGAAATTATTTTTGTTTCCTTCGTTTTTAAAGCAGTTTTAGATTAAAACAAATGAGGTAAAAACACACCGTCATCGCACACATCTACAAGAGCACGCAGAGGGGTTGCAAAAAGTGGAGGAACGTACTGATGAGATTTTCCTGGCAGGATAAGGCTGGCAGAACAGGTTACCCAGCGGTAATGGAGCAGGGTGCTTTTAGGTAGCTGTTTTTCGCAGGTGCATTGTTGGGATGCTAGCAAATTAATAAAATCAGAATTGTTCCTGCGTAGCGCTGTCTTCAAGACTGCCTCGTGGTTTTTCTGCAGCCACTTGTGTGTAGGGTGGGACTGACGAGGGGTTAAAAGAACTGAACTGAGGAAAAAAAAAATACAAATGTGTTTTTCCTCTGGAGTGACACCGTTATTTGGTGAAGGTTTTTCCTCGCGTTTCACCCATGCTGTTCAGAGCTGCCTGGAAGGGGAGCTGTGTCACTGAGAGCAAACCCGATCACTGACACTGGCTTGGGTGGACCACGAGGAATAAATCAACCAAATGGCACTTCTGTGGCTCTACAAGGAAAAACAGCTTATATCCATGTGGTTTTGTGAAGTATTCCCATAAGAAATCTTGGAAAGTCAGAAGGAGGAAAAAAAAAAAGGAGATTAATTACACAATCAAGGGCAACTGTAACAAGCTACATTAGATATAATAAGCGTCACAGAACTTCTGGCTCAAAATTAGTGATCTTTCTTCTTGTCTGGAGTCTACAGAGGTCATTCTTGCTGAGTGTGTGTCTTGTAAAATCTTTTTTCCGGTGAGTTTGCCTCAGGATCCATATATACTTTTTATTTTTAAGGTATTTGTTCCCTGTCGATTCTATTTAAAAAACACCCACTCGGCCTGTGGGATTCAATTTTATGTTTGTGTATAACTTCTGGTAAACGAAGCGGTATCTGGCTGTGAAAAAAGGTAATTCAGGTTTGGCCTCTGATTTGGTGAACTGACCCAACGATCACCTGCGAGCAGTCCGCCTCGGTGCTTCTCTTACTGCTGAGAGATGTCCATACCCAGAGCTTCCCACCACCTCCCACTCATGGGATGCAGCCTCTGACAGGAGCCAGTGGGCTGGGCTGCTCGTGGAGGAACATCTCAAAAAAGGCTCTGAGCAAAGCAGGAAGGCACAGGAGCTGTGTTCCCCAAGCAGCGGATGAGCTGAGGCGCCCTGGACACCAAATAAAACCAAAAGCCGTGTCTTTGTGAGTCTGTTTGGCGTATACGTAGACACTTCGGTGTCTGCCTGTGTGGATATGGTGTGCAAACTAGAGTTACATAACGTGCAATATTTGCAAAACAACTCCAAAGAGAGCAAGGAGCTGTTTTCTGTCGAGAGCTTGCCATTTCCAGACGGCAGATGTCCACACGTAAACAGTAGGAAATGAAACTTTGGTGGAAAACGGAGGCAATGTTTAGGGACCTACTTTCAGCCACCGGTGGATTATAGATGTTTCCCTCTTCCTCAGGTCAGTGCTGACGTGTTTCAGATACTAGATTATCTTGATTGATCGAGTCTGACCATTTATGCCTCAGGTCAGTGCTGACGTGTTTCAGAAACTAAATTATCTTGATTGATCGAGTCTGACCATTTATTTTGCTAAACCCAGACTCTTTTCACAATCTCCTCCACGGCAGAACTTCAGTTTTCAGTATGGGAAGGAAAAAGAGAAAGGAAGTGCAGTATTTGCTAAAATAGCAGCTCGGCTCCAGTCACGTGGGAAGGAAAAAGAGAAAGGAAGTGCATTTGCTAAAATAGCAGCTCGGCTCCAGTCACATCAGCTTCCATAAGTCAGTAAAAAAACCAAAAAAAAACCACAACAGAAACAGATATTGCTCACCTTCCGGAGTTTTGGAAAACTTCAGTTCTGGGTAGGAAACTCTTCACTTTCAACTTGCAGAAGCTTGATTCACCAGGTTGGGGCAAAAAAGAGATGCAGCTGCCCAGTCCTCCCCGTGTGGATCGTTTGTTTGAGTTTTGGATGACTACAACAACAGCCAGGTTGCTTCATTTCCTTCAACACTCATCCTTAAGAGTCTTATAAAGCAGCTTTTGATGAAAGCAGCAACACAAGAAGCAGGTTGAACCTAATGGCTTATCATACATTTTAAACATCCCTGCCTGCTCTGTTTTCCCTTCCGAAGGCTGTGACCTCCCGAATTTCTGAATAAGAATTACAGAAATGTAAAACAGGAGTGATCAAAGAGTGTCAGGAGCTGGAATTGCACATGGAGCAGACAAACTGTAGCAGCTGTCAGTGAGGAAATATTGGAGTCATTTATGCTTTGAATAATTAATTAGCACATTATTTTAGAGGAGAAAAAAAAACCCAAGCAACCTTTTGGCATGCTTTTGCTGCACTTTACACACTGCATTTTTAAATTGTATTTAGAAAAATCACAACTGGTAAATAATGAGTCAGTAAGTATAGTTCTAAAAGACAGGCCAGAAGTTGACTGGGTGCCGCAACAAGGACAGAGGTCTTTCAACTGAGTAGAAATGGTCTCAAGTTCCCACATGGGGCCATCACCGAGAACCCCAAAGGCCAGAGACAGAGCCCCAGAGAAGTCAAGAGCACGAGTGTCATCAGGGCTGAACCGAACGCTGATCAGGAGAGGAATTCCGTGCACGGGCCGTCAGTGGTGGGTTTTTTCCCCGTGACTGTAACAGCAGTAACCTGCTGCCAACCCAACGTCTGGTTCCTCTCCGAAGCCACCATAACTCTGGTTATGCTGAGAAACCTCCTCTGCAACCAAGTGGAAGGAGCACCATGGCCACAGTAATCTCGACAGCCTCGTTTAGCTGGGTGCGTCAGCACACCGCTCCGGTCTGAACTTCTGGAAATGAAATGAATCCATCTTGATAATTAAGCCAGCCAGACTTTTCCTCTGACGTTGCATGGCACGCTGCTGTGGCGCACGCATGGTGCTCAGCGTCTTGCTCCTCAAAGACCACCCGATCACAGACACGTGGGAGAGGAACTGTGCTTGTTCCTGGAGGAGGAAGACCACTTGAAGATAATCCACGTCTCCATGCCTGGATGTGCACGTTTAACACGCTGACGGTTTTAAAGCAACAATTGCAAGGTCTTCACTTCAGCAGTGAAATGATGTTCTGTTTTGCCTAACACATATTTAAGCAGGTGCAGAACATGTTCCTTTCAAGAGCCTAAAACAACAAAAGAGCCTGAAAGAGGCTGCCGAGAGACAAAATCGTAGGTAACTCCTACATGGGTAAGCGTGTGTCATGTCTATAAATCAGGTTGGAAGATGACACGCTCTCCACTTTGTAGGTTTTTCCAATAATGTATCGTCTTAGCGATTCAGTTTTTTAAGAAAATACAAATCATTTTCGGGAGAGGCACTCTGCCTTGACTTCATCTCGCATGAAGAAAACACGGCAAACCTGGAAGTGTTTAAACGCATCGTGAAAAATAGCACTTAGCGCTGGTTAGTTTTGTTGTAGTGATGTAACTGAAATGTTGCTGATGCGTTCTCATTTTGCATTAATGCCTTTCTTTCTGTTCTCCTCATGTTCCTCCTCCTCATTAATGCCATGCATTTAACCCATTGTGACGTGTGCCCCTTTGGTGGCTGTTTGTGTTTTATTTTGTTTTGTTTTGTTTTTTTTTCTGTTTAACTTACCTATTCATTTATTTTGGAATGCTCATTTGGTGATGTATGGACCCAGATCCCATTGATCCATTAGAAGTTGATTTTTATCCTTTGCTTGATGATTTCCCTACCTCAGTCCCAGATATCTCCACCCCCATGCTCCCACCAGTAGGTGTCCAGGCTGTTGCACTTACGCATGATGCAGTGAGGGTCATCTGGGCAGACAACTCTGTCCCAAAGAATCAAAAGACTACGGAGGTTCGCTTCTACACGGTCCGATGGAGAACGAGCTATTCGACAAGTGCTAAGTACAAGGTGAAATTTTAACACGTTACGAATTTATGAGCTATTTCATCTGTTCGTATTTTATTTGCAAAGACTCTGAATTGGCTTTTGTGAACGTCCCTGAACTAAAATTTCCGTTTCGATCGAAAGGAAACTTGCGTGAGTAACCGCTGCTTCCTAGAAACCTGTGTGTTTAGTTGGATGGAAATGCCGTATTTTAATTCCACATGCCAGTTGTTGAAAGTTTTGATCTTTACTCTTTACCAATCAGGTATAAATTAGTCACAGATTTGGTAGCACAATAGTGTAGCATGAATAGGAAGAAATAACCAATTGCAAACACACCCGCACCGTATGGCAATTCCACCCACCCGTATTACGCATTCCCAAATAGTGAAAAACGAAGGTTAGTTTATGAGAAAACTCAGTTTAAACAGATGTGACAGCAGAATGCTACTTTCTGTGTGAGAATTTCTCTTCAAGTCCTAATGAAAGGAGGACCAAAACCCGTGGAGTACAGCAGAGATACGGCGGGACAGGGAATGGGAAGGAACAAGCACAGCCTTTAGGCTTTTTCATTTGCTTGGTTTTGAACAATAAGCTGGTTTTCCCCACTATCCTCAGCTTATATATTGCATCTCATATAACGTCCACCTTCCCCATGATGAGCATGTCCTTCCTCCCGTGCCCTGCCATAATAGTTGTTTTCACTTGCCTAAAGGATCGTATTGATCCATAGTGAGATGTTTGCTATGGATGTATTTCTGTGCTGCAAGTGGATGCCTCATTTTTTTACCGTTCTCTGTCCTAACCAAAGCAGCCTCGTACAAGCCGGTCTTACAAGGACTGTGGAACAGGCCGTGCTTTATCCAGCACTGAGGGTCCTCTGATGAGTGCCTGAGTTGATGTGTCTGAATATAATCTGGCCTTTCTAATCCCCAGAGGATGGCTCTCCAACCTCTTTCAGGTTTGAGGTCCACCTCTCCTACAGAATCCTGAGATCTTTCCCAGGTAGTTTTTGGAAGATGTGGGAATGATGGTGGAGAAGCTCTTGCCTTCAGTCCCTTTTCTGAGTGTGGTTTTTCAGCTCTTCCCCCTTACACCTCTCCCTCAGAATTTGGCTCGCTGGCACTCGGCTGAGTCCATGTGCTGCTGCAGACCGTTTCAGTCGCGTTGCTCCTGATCTGCGTTCACACCAGCTGAGCACAGACTCAGCTGGCTTTTTGCTGCAGGCGCCGACCCACTGTAGAGCTTTTAAATAATAGCAGTTCTTCACAAGGTGTGAAAGTCCATACCTTGCTTTTATGTCTACTGCCATACTTCTGGCAACCTCACATGCTGACGTGGTGATCTGCAATATGAGACCCAAATTTTGTATGCTTGTGCAGTTGTAACAAGCTCTGAGGTAATTAAGGGTGCCAGAACGATGCATTGTAATGTTTTGAATGCCCTACCTTGGGCTGACTCCTATTTAGAGGTGAATTTCCATGCCCAGCAAAACGAGGAGTATGGCACAGGGAAGCACAGCGAGTCCCGGTTTGCAGCTCCAGAAAAGACACCGTTATGTTTTGCCACTCACAGTCGATCGTAACATTTTCTTTAGTTTCCCAGTGCACGTACTGAGCTGCACGCAGTGGAAAATGGTGAGTGACAAACAAAAGTGATCAAAAATAGACCCGTTAATCCGCTCTGCAGAAGCACATCTTGCTTGAAGATGTTGATGTCGTTGGCCTTCTGCTAACGCGATCGGGTAGACATCTCTCGCAGAGGCACCACACAGGGCTCCGGGAGCTGTCGAAGAGCAAGAGTGAAATTACCTTTTTTTGCCACCATCTCTAGTTTGGCCAGTCTGTGGGCGACATACCTGTAAAGAGCCAGTCTGATTCGTTTATTCCAGTTCAATCACCCAGAAGCAGAAATGATCAAAAGTCTTTCAAGAGGGTCTGCTTTCTTGAAATAACCGCATTTTTTTCAAAGAAACAAGATAAAACCTATTACGTTTTTCTTTGAAAACAGTGGGGAAAACTTCCATTTTCTTCAGAGGGGTTTGGATCAGGCTCACAGGTGGGTTCCCGAAGCGCTTGCCTGTGCGTTCTCATTGAATTTCCAAGTCTTTTTGAGATTTTTCCCATTAAAGTCTCCCATTGCTTCAGAACTGTGTATCAGATCTGATACACTGAAGGAGTTTAGCCTTTCTCATTGAAGCTGGAAGTTTATAAAGTTAACTTTGCCCTGCCAACTCTACTTTGTACAAACTGCCCCACACAGGCGTGGCGTGGCATTACTGAAGGGGCTTGCTACCGTTACACCCCCTTCATCTCAATGGGGTATTAACTTCAAGGATGTTTCGACTATTGAAATGCTAATATTTAGTATTGAGTGAAACAGTCAAAGGAAAACACTCAGCTGGAGACAAATAACTTTCTTTTTACAAAAAGGAACCCAATGACTTTATGTTCCACTAAAGACTGTTTCGTCCAGGAATAGATTCAAACCCTATTGTTTCTTCCATGTGAATTTTTCCTGATCGTGTGTAATATCTGAGCACTTCTGCAGTGATAGTTATCAGATTTAGTTACCCTGAGGGGTATTTTATGCCGTAAATCATTTCATTTCTTCCAAAATCTTTTCCGGGGGAGAAAATTATTATTCCCTATATTGAAATCAAATAGTCAGAGAATGCTTTGTATAAACTTTAGCAGGTGGATTTTGCCATCTCTGGCAAGTGGCTGAGTGGTTTACAAACACATAGGTTGTAAGTGCTGTCTTTGCTTCAATAAGGCTTTTTATCGAGGGAGATTCTCTGCTGGAGTAAACCCTGAGTACAGATAAGTTGCAAAATGCTCTTTTCCAAGAACTGGGAGTTTTAATTGAGTATGAAAATGATAAAATCTGGTATTGCATTAAGTCTATTAGGTAGCACGCCAAACACATCAGAGCACTTGTGATAAAGCAGCGTGCTGTGTAGGCATATATAGCCCATTCATTAACGTCGCTGCAAAGTGAATTTCTCCCACTCCCCCTTGAGTATTACTGCTTTATTCTGTGGTGTGCTGGAAACCGAATGTCCCAGTTTTAGCGAAGTTACTCACTGGCCTGTAAGTTGTTGGTGCTGGAGGACTGCACACTGGGTTCTGTAGCTTGAAAAGCGTGGGAATTGATTTTATTCAGTTGTCACCAATTTATCCGATAGTTCTCTTCTCTTTTGATACTAGTTTGAGTTGGGCTGAAATTGTTCCTTGCTGCAGGCTGAGGTAAAAAGCTAGATCAGCTAAAAATAAAGGAACCATTTAATATTCACATCAACGTCAATATGTTTAGTTGTTCATAACGTATCACAGCAATGTGGATCAATAATATGTTTCAAATATAAACTAATGCATAAACATATTCTATTTAACCAAGCAGAAGTGTGTTTTACGAATACAAAAATGCATCTTCATGCAGGGGTCCTGGGTCATATTTCGATCTGTGTCATAAATATTCGTTAACCCCAGGAACTGGGAAGCCTTAGTCACGACCATTCTAGGGGTGAAAATGCTTTCTGAGCCTCCTCTAAAAATTTTTTCTTAGAAGGAACTCATCAAAGAGGCTGGAAATGAGTGTTTAAGTTATGGAAATGATCCTGTTTTTTGTTCTCATATGGACATAGATGAAGGACATAGGGTTAGCTTCCAATTTACATTTGAAAAAAAATGCATGGCAAATTGCTTTGTCTGGGAGAAGAGAAAGAGAAAGCATCACAATAATTTATTTAACTGCCTATGGCACTAAAAATACTCCTGTTAAGGTACTCGGTAGCGATAGAGCTATTTGGCTTGAAAAAGGAATCCATCGTAACTGTTTTGCTTGGCTACCAGCGAAAAGAGTGGCTTTAAAGACATTCTCCGCTCCGTCTCTTTGCAGTCGGCAGATACGACCGCTCTGAGTCACACCGTGATAGGGCTGAAGCCAAACACCATGTACGAGTTCTCCGTCATGGTCACCAAAGGTCGGCGGTCCAGCACCTGGAGCATGACGGCGCACGCCACCACCTACGAAGCAGGTACGGCGAGAGCTGCTGGAAAGGCTTTCTTTGGTTTTGTTACGTGTCATCAGAAGCCTTGTTCAGGTTCATCCTAACTGCATAAACCGACAGTGTACGTACAGAATTAACGATTTCTTCACTTTTTTTCCCGTGGGTAGCAAAGCAAGGCAGTCATTCTGAGCTCTGGAGTCATTGCAAGAAGTTAGGAGATGGTAGTACGTGTGCGCCATGGTATATTTAGTATTTGTGATGTCTAGTGCGAGTGATTTAAAATAGTTTTCAAAGAAACCCAAGATTAGGTGAAAAAAGTTATTAGATAATGATTTTGGTACTTTAAAATTTTGACTTTGGAAGTTCTGTGTGGGTTTGTCTCAAGTTCATGACTTCCCACCTTACCCACGTAGTAGAAGGGTCTCAGTGACGGCTTCTTTCTGATGCCCATCCTTCTTGACTCAAGGTCTTGACTCCCAGCTCTGTTCATCACACTGTGGGGACCCATTTTAGCTGTTTGCTGTGCACTGTGCTGGTGACCAATGCATCAGTCCAGCCAAGACCTACAGTCAGAGTTACAGCGACTGAAACCGTGTATGCAAAATTAAAGACAGAGACAGAAACAAGGGGAAAAAAAAAACAAACAACCCAGTCAAGTGAGCAGTCTTTTCAGCTTGTGCATTATTTATTGTAAAGACACAATTATCTACCCTGTGCAAAATGTTGACTCACATGAATTCCCTGCTGGCCGTTTGGTAAGGCATCTCTTCTGTGCTCAGTGTTTTTATACATCTGTATGTCATTTCAAGACAGCAGCCATTGATAATACTAACAATATGCTTATAGTAAACAAATGCACTTTGAAGGCTTAATTTAGCTGCTCTTCTCAAGTGTTTGAGTGGCATTTTCCAAGCAGGAGGCTGTGACCTGAAAGATACTTCAGATTCTGAAGGGGACTCAATGCAGTTTTGATAACAGACACCAGATACATCTCGTATGTAACCCGAGTTCAGTGGGATCAAAATGCTTGAAAAGGGATGGGGACGTAATGGTCTCTGCAGATAAAGAGCATCCTCTCCAAAACGTAGTTGTTTCTTTCTCTTTTGTGTCCCTTGTCAATAGATAAGAATGTCTGTGGTTTTGCTTAAGGTGTTTTTCTCCTTCATCTGTTGTAGGCAGCAATATGTACATTTGGACACCAGTAGTGTAGCTCGTGCTGTATTTTCCTGAGGGTGACTGGGTGGCCTTGGAAACACTCCGGGTGCCATTACAAATTGGGTTCTGCCAGCAGACACCAAATGAAGTCTGCTGGTAAATATTGATTTGTTGGGTTTTTTTTTTAAATGAAAACCGTAGTACAAGCCAGTTAATTAACAAAGGGAAAATAAGAGGGAATATATGTGTCCTTAGATTTTCCCACATGATTGCAATGCAATTATCTGAGCTTGGTGGAGCAGCTCTGTTAATTAAGGGCATCCTGCACTGCTGATCTTTATTGCCTGTTTTGTACCCATTCCGCATGCTGAATTTCCAGTAATGATATTAAAGAACGTGCGTATCAGCATCGATACAGAATTCACTGGAGATTACTGCCATGGCTAGGGAGACTTGTTGTGCCCATAATTCAAAAGCAGTTCTCAGAGCCAAGTTCCATCCCCAGATCTGCCTGCACAAGTCTTACTGATACGAGCGGTGTTAATGAGTGCTAAAGGAAACATCTAAAGCTTTGCTTTTTCTCATGGTATCTTACGTTCACAATCTGCTGAAAGCAGAGCTCAACTTCAGCCTCTCAGTGGGACTCACGTGGTAGTCACCAGCATGGAAAGCCCTTGTTACAGGGAGGGGCTTACAAGCTTTACTAGTTTAACCTCACAAAAGACAGAAAGTCTGGGAAGGGAAAGGGTTAGTTCATGAAAACACGTCAAAAGGTTAATTTCAGAGAATGGAAAGCAGTGCTTAAGATAAAGAGGGTCTTTGCATACAAAGAGGTGGCTACACCTTGGTAGAAATATAATAATTCATGTGAAGTTGGAGAATATTGCAGGATAGACTTAGCAAAAGTGAAGAGAAGGAAAATTTTGCTTTTAAAACTGAGTGTGATTCGTTTATGAAAAGAGTTCTCTCTCTCAGTTCCCTGAAGTAGCAAGGCAGTCCAAGGTGGTTCTTTTGGTACGCTGGTTTTAAACTGATCAGCCAGCGTCCCAAGATGGCTACAAGCTGAGTAGCTTTTAAATGCAACACAGCCCTCTCAAGAAATAATGATACTAATAATAATGATTATGATGATGATGATGATGACAACATCAATAATAATAACGGCAATAACAATAATGCCAACTTCCCTGGGAGTGTGGGAACTCACATCATGCTGGGCATTGCTGAGGATTAAGAGACTTCCCAGAGAGCTGTGAGCTTGTGCTGTGGCCTGCCTACTTCAGGCTAAGAAAGATGCTTCCAGCGAGGAGCAGCTAATGTGACAGTCCTACTGGTGCTGGCTCTGGATGTATCAGACTGAATGTGTTGTTCCAGCACATCTGGTGAAGAGAGAATCCACCATAAGTCTGGCACAAAGAGCATCAGCTGGCGAGTAGTCACCTGCTTAGTAACAGAACGATGGAAACAGAAAGTTTTGGGTTCTGTGTACAGATTTTTGTGGTTGCTTTCTGGATCCCACTGTTGCTGAGTTCAGCGGATGCAAATACCATGAGACCGTCTGCTCAGCCTTATTTCAAAGGGATCCGTTCCCTATGACCAGAGCCTGTACAGCAGCTGGCTCTTCCCTTCCTTCTTCTTGGTTAAGATCATTGAATGTTCGTCACCCTGAAGATTTCTGTCTGCACTTTAGATCGGGCTGGTTTTAGCTCAGTGTGATCCAACAGATTTTTAAAGCTTTACCTCCTGAAGTGCCTTTGGAGCAGTTCTTCGAACATTCAGGAAGGTTGTTTAGAGGCCATATGGGTAGGACACAGATGATGGGATGCCCACACGCTGTGTTCTCCATGCTGTTATGCTGCTCTAAGTCTGTTATGATCTCTATATGCTCTAAGTCATCAACAGCTTGTATCAGAACTAAGTAAACAAACAGTGAGCTCGGCGCCAATGTATTTACTCCCCTCTCTCAACTATTTTTTAATAATTGCCCATTTTTCCTTTCTGCTCCACAGTCCTACGATGTGATTTTAGAATATCTGAGACACTGTGCAAGACCTCGTGTCCAGCATTAGTAAAGCAGGGTGCAAAGCAGACGCTGCAGGCGCAGAAATCCAACCTTCCCTTTATAAGGCGGTGGAAGTAGAAAAGCTAAGAATTTTCTATCATGTCTAAAATGTCCCAAACTGAGGATATATTTAATGGATATACACAATTATACTTGTTTTTTTCTGCTACATACCTACAAGTGTTCCTAATAGAGAAGCCACAATATTATTGCTGTTATTGAACATCCAGGGCTCCCAGAGTGTATTCTTGGTTACCTCGGTGGTTGTTGAGCTGTAAGGACGAACATTAACGGTAGGACAAGAGCTATCCACCAAATCCTAACGTATCCACACACAGCGTTTTGTACAATTGCCCCTAATAGAAATATCACAGACAAATCATATATTACATGTTTGAAACGCATCTAAGGACACGTGCGTTTGAAAGGATCAAAGAAGGCAGTAGATGCCCACTGAGTAGTTCATGCCTGCTACGGTGTGTGAGGAATTCAAAAGAAGGTGAATAACTTCTGTTTTCAATTATTTTCAGCTCCAACCTCTGCTCCCAAGGATCTGACAGTCATTACACGGGAAGGGAAACCCAGGGCCGTCATTGTCAGCTGGCAGCCGCCGTTGGAAGCCAATGGAAAAATTACTGGTAAACACGTGCATTATCCTGTGTTCTCCGTTTATTTACTGTTCTGATCATTTGCTGCTTTCACTCCTTATCTTCTGTTGTTTGGGTTTTTTTTCCTTGGGTGCTATTTGATCTGGCGTTATTTTATTTTCTCTTATCAGCTAGCTTGGTCTAGGATTCAAGGCAATGTTAGGGAGACTGCATGATCAAGAACTCGGGGGATTTAAATCTTTTCTTTTTAAATGTAAAGAGCAGTAATATAAGCTAAAAAATGCTGCACTCCAAGTGAGAGTTTTGTGGTATGTGGTGCTCAATGATAATTAGAAATGACTAATACTAAGTACTTTGTTTGGCAATAATGCAGTAGATAATATCCATAATGATAGGTTGCTCAGTGCAGCACATCATGGGAGAATTTATTGGTAGATATTTAACTTTACAATAACAATTTAAGGCAATGATAATCAGGAAAAAAACCCTAATGTTGACTGACAAGAATTGAACTTAATGGATGCTTCAAAATGACAGATTTTATTTTCCAAAATATGACATGTAACCTTAGTGCCTAATTAAGAAATCCATTACAAACCTTTAAATGTTCATTTAGTTTGAAAAATATAGTAGAGTTCTAGCTGAGATTTTGCATTTAAATGATCGTTGTAGGCTGTTAATAGACATCTCAGAGGCATATAATTAGGAGGAGGAATTTTGCTCACCCTCAGAAAGATGCACGTTATGGTCACATCTCTACAACAGTTGGGTTAAACCAGTTCTACAACACATTTTCGCGTGGGAGAAAGTGTGCCTACGTCACCGTTACTGCTAGTAATCCCAGCAACACGCTGCCGGAGCGTGGAGAGATACAGACGTAAGAGGAAGAACGCCTCAGAGTGACGTCCCGCGTGAGCCGTTCGCAACGACGAGCGCTGGGTCAGGCTTTAGCGGCCGTCACTCAGCAGGGCTTCACTGGCGTCGGGTGAGCTGTTGTGAGTTACGCCAGGAAAGTATCCCGCTTTATGTTGCCAGTAAAACAAAGACATATTTCCGTGTGGATGTCGCCCAGCAGTAACAATTCCTAGGCGAGACTTGCACAACCGTGTGCAATTTCACCCTACATTATCATCAGGACTTTACAATCCGTGACCATGTCTGAAAGGAGGATGTTTTGATGAAATGGCTCTGTTTACACTAACCTAATTTAGCCGTTAGAGAGAAGAATGATCGTTCTGATGGACAACACGCTGCAATGAGCGCTAATGGTCCTGATTCCCCAGCGACTAAAAGACAAAATAAAATAAAAGCTTTCCTGGCTTCCAAGGCGTGAAATGGCTCCCTGGTAGCAACTTTTACAGACTTTTTCCATCGACAGACGCATTCAGACCTAAGAACAGACTGGGTCCCCTGACATCCGTGCACAAACTTCCTTCTTGTAGCACTTCGTTGAAGAATGGCTCTCGTAGGGCATTTTTACTGCGTATGTGGTCAAGTCTTTCTTAGACATGCCAAGCAGAGGAAACATCTCCTTGTGGAGAGCAGAAATGTCCCGAACAACCAAATCTGCGTCCCTACAACTGCTTGAGCGAGTGTGTGTGTGTTAGTTTGAGAAACACATAAAGTTACAAATATATGTATATATATATATATACACATACACATAAAAATTCAAATGTCAGAGAAACTGTTTTAGTAACCCCAAGCCA